CCCCCCCCCCCCCCCCTGGAGGTTATTTACTTATTTATATATCTGTTTACTTTCAGGTATGGAGTTAGTGGGGTCACGGGCTAGGGTGCTGGGTGGTACTCTAATATCTGTCTTCTATGCTCTCGGCGAGGCAATTCTTGGAGGTATAGCCTTATGGCTACAGAACTGGAGGAACCTTCTTCGAGTCTTCTACGCGCCAGCCTTGCTTTGTGTCACATACCACTGGTAGCCTATACAATATGTTGTCTGCAACGGGAATAATTAATTTCCCTTTTTCATTTCCTTGTTTTCATGCATTATTTGTACTCGGTGTATGAGGTACAGGCTTCATAGAAAAATCATGTTGTCATATTTCATGCATTGTCTTTTAATGGTTTCCAATTTAATTTGGGACTGAACATAAAACATTTTCACAAAGATATATATTTTCAGCGGTATTCACGTGACCGGCAGCTGAAAGCAAAAATTAGTCGTCTTGTCGCGATGAAAACGTCGTTGTTGGTACAGCCTGATTACGTAATAATGATCTCATGTCGTACTAATGCATAGGTATGGTGACTGTGCATTTCAGTCTATTTATGTTGCTACTAAATTGTATAACTAATTATATTTTGGCCCGTATCGTGTACTATAAGGCCAGTGATCTCGTATAGACGGTATTGGCCCTGATTTCCATTTGTCTCAGAAATCTCTGACTTCCAGCGCTTCTTAATGTATGCATTACAAAGCAAACAGCTCTGAAACGCTGGAGAAATTCAGAAACTTTTTAGAAGAGACAGAGAATGTCCCACCTTACAAGTGTTACTACCAGTAGACAGCTTTCAGAAGAACTTCTAAAGGAGATAAATGTACGAAATTGATAAAACAAAGGAAGAAAGGGGTAAGTGATGAAGACACGAAATAAATAATTTCCCTCTGAATAGCAACAGGCTTTTCTACTGGTATGAAATATACCTCAAATAATAGGCAATATGCAATATAATGGATCAATCATTGCAACAGGAGTTTAGAGAATAATTGTACCGCAAATCATTTTATTTTTACATTTACGTTTTGACAGGTTGCTTCCTGAATCAGTGAGATGGCTTCTGGCCATGGGGAAGATTAAAGAAGCAAGAAACGTTATTATGAAAGCTGCAAAACGGAACGGAGTCGTCCTATCAAGCGGTGCGCTCAACAAGTTCGAGATGACGTCCCTGTCAGAAGGAAAATCTGTAAGATGTTTGCTGTGTGTTTGTTTCTGATATTTTCTTTGCTTTACAAGAGAGATCTGATCACAGAGAACGTTACAGGTGATGGCCCAGCACTGTTTCTGATAAACCACCAAGCTGTCTGGTACATTCACAGCTATCCTCTTACATCTGGAGGTCTCCCTCATCCGAGTCCCATGTTCGAGCGACCCTAAAACCCTACGGTTGTTAGAATGGGCTGTCACTGTGCTCGTTGTTTAAACATTAGAAACTGGAATCTCATTGTGCCATTGTATCTTTTTTTATATTTAACTTTCCATTGTGGTACTCTACTGACTGGATTCACTGTTGACACCCCTATTAGGAGAGTCCTGAAGCTGAGATAAAATCTGCAAAAGAAGTCCTTAAGCAAGTTCTCCACTCCAAGATACTGCTGCTGAGAGTAGTCAATTGTTCCTTTTGTTGGTATGTACAGAATTATAACTCGCTTGATTAAGGCCAAATCAGGGCATCATTGTATCATAGGCTGAGAGTGAAGTGGCTGAAGCGAAATTCAGATTATTTACCTCCATCAAATATCCTTGGCTAGAATATGCCCAAATTTGACATTGGTGCATTGGATTCATTTGGTTCAGGATAGGGAATGTTGACAGGACCTTGTGAACACGGTAATGAGCCATCCAACACAATGTAACCGATGTGGTAATTTACTGAGCTGAACACCTCGTTGGCTGTCTTCACTTTTGGGATTACTAACATTAATGTAGATAGTTTTCCATAATTATATTTTCCGGCGTGCTGTCTGAAATATATGATTCCCTCTTACTGTTCTTCTTCTTGCCAACTCTAACACTATAAGCCCATTACTTTGTTTCTCATTCCGTCCTTCCGTTTGACACACAGGGTTGCCATCACATTCGTATTCTTCGGGCTGTCTCTCACATCGGTGTCTGTCGGTGGCAACAAGTTCACCAACTTCATACTGGTGGCGATAATTGAACTCCCAGCTTACATTGTGTTCTACTTCACTATGGACAGGTTCGGTAGGAAATCTACGATGAGCGTGTCTCTCATACTATCCGGCATCAGCTGCATCACCTTCGCCTTTGTTCCCACAGGTAAGGGCAGTCCTTGTTTCATATTATCACTACCATGTTTGTTCAAATAACAGCCTCCCCTTGCAGACATCAAATTGTACTTTTCAAGGCCAGGAAAGCCTTCATCCCACCCTTACCACACAGCTTTACGTCAACAGCTGCTAAGCTGCGAATTGCGAGCTGTCTTTGCTGGTACAGCTACTACAGTATGCTCCAGAGAGTCGTCAACAGTTTCAATTGTTCTGTAATATTGTGATCATACTGTGTTACTAGAGAATGTCTGATGCTGGTTTTGCAAATCGAACCTTGAAGTAAGTACTCAAAAGCAAAGCAATTAAAAATACATTCCGCGAGAGACATATAAATCGGGATAAGAGCAAAATTGATTAAGCTATGGGTATTTCGAGAGATTCATATTGTAATGAAGGGATAAAGTGCACATGAAGACCAAGACGAAGTTTATTTCTTCAATGCACATCTACCGTCTTATTTTGACATAAAATTTAAAGAGGTCCATTTCATAACGTCGTTTCATATTGACTATGCCATATAATCAGCAGCCAAACAATCAAGAAGTTAAGAAACACTGTATAGTGGAAGTCTGTCTATCTGGGGCAGATCTGGAATGGGTACGGATGCTTCTCTTCCTGATGGGAAAATTCTCTATTACTATATCCTTCACCGTGGTGTACGTGTATACCACCGAAATGTTCCCCACGGAGCTTCGGAACTCGCTGCTTGGCGTGTGCGCGATGGTCGGAAGGATCGGTTCCATGATTGCACCACAGACACCGCTACTGGTGAGTAATGGACACTTGCACTATTGACTGGAATAGTTTGTTTAAAAGCCTGAGTTCGAGAGCGGTAAATGTGTCATTTCTGCCCAGATCGGCCAACCAGACTCCCATCCAATGAACACCGGAGGTTCTTTCCTTGGGCCGGAACCAGAAGCTGACCACTTCTATTTGATTTCCTCTTACTCTTTGCTGTATAGGTCCACAATTCCATAAGTTTCTTACGAATGTCAACACACGTCCATCTAGTGTAGAGGGGTTGTATAGATTATGGTAGATACAAAACTGATGGACATGTGAAATGCGAGAGACCAGATAAAATGTGTCCCAGGCAATTTTGAAGGCTTCAAGTGATGGCCCCATCACACTACGCTGAGAACGTTTCATTACCTCCAAGGTTGAAAATGTAAGCTGAAAACACAAATCACCAGATTGTGTCTTCGGCAAATGTATATATTTTGTGTGTCTGTTTTCAGGAGCGGTACCTGCAGTCTCTCCCTCTACTTCTGTTCGGCGGTATGTCAATCCTGTCTGGGCTCTTCTCTCTCAGTTTTCCCGAAACGCTTAATTCGAAACTTCCCGACACTGTCAAAGACGCAGAAAACATAGGTAACAAGGCTAGACGGACGAGGTAACACAAATTCCCTGGCAGACAACAGCTTAATATCAACATCTTCACTGATGTGAGAACCTCAATTCTCATTAAACTTGATATTTGTTAGGACTAATTTTCTTCACCACTTTAATAATTTCTGAGCTCAAGGAATTCATTACTTCTCACGGCTAAATAAATAACTCGTAGTCCTTGAAAGTTTAGATTACGGGTGCCCACGAACCTGAACACACAACACTGCGTTTGCAAAAACCTGCCATTTGTTTCACTTAAACCCATTCATTTCTCATAAGGTCGAATAACTTTGTCAGCAATTTGCTCTTAATTACCTTCAATTTGTATGATGTCACTTATCTTCTTTTCGAAACACTGTTACTTAACTTGCCTACAACTGAGAATATACTGTATAGTCACATTATGCCACATAACCTCTTGTTGCCTACTCACCTGACGCAAACCAACCACTTAATAGTTTCTATTCCCTATTAGTGAACTCGCCATTTTGACACATAATAACAATGGTTGACCATATTAAATAATACTGTTAAGACAAACACTAAAAATATGAGGGCGTGTAAATTACACATACCTTTTGAAATTTCAAATTCCTGCAAAAATGCCGTAATACTTCTATTGGCCATTCGAAACTTCTCAAAATCGAAGTCGTAATGCTTACGATCTAATCAAAACTGCTTTCCTTTCACACGCGAAGTACTGGAGGTGATTGGAATCGTTACTTACTGTGTATTGTATAATGAAGTACCGAAGTATTATTCTACAAGCAGTGAGGCAGCTTCTACTCGATCTGTCAGAATCTGATCTTGCTGAGGCTGGTTTACTACCATATATAATTCATACAGATATTTAGAGGTAACTGTAGAATGCAAAATATTTAATTATGAACACAGCTATTTCCATTTAAAACGTTTAACTTCTATGAAACAGCCTGGAAACTCCTGTACATTATGTATGAAAGACCTGGTAATAAGAGGTTAAAATGACATTCGGGTTAATGCCACCAAATATGCTTGTTAGCTCTTCCACAAAAAGTGAAAAATTGCAGTTGAAACCAATAGAAATATATAACACACACTGCATATAATTTTGTGTGTGCATGTGCTGATATGTCGTATTTTATATTGAAATGGAAACAAACAGTACAAATGTATACATTAGGGAATTGTATTTTTTTAAGCACAACAGGCAGTGATGAAATGATAACATATGAATAAAATAAAAATATAGGAACAAAATTCATGTAGTAGCTGTTAACCGTGCCAGAGGCACAGGTACATATCCAATATTCTCAGTGTACTAAATATAGTCTACATGTCTCATCAAAAATACGAATGTGTGCACTTGCTAACAGGATGCATCTTATCAATTACAACCAACTCTACATGCATATAAAACATGATAATATATTTTGATGGTAATAAAACAAATAAAGTATTTTACCAAAATTCATAATTTCTTCTTTAGATTTACATTCAATGAGAATTCATTGTAACCCTGATGAGATTTCACTTAATCACTAAATAGATGAAAACGTCAATGTTTACATTTTACATTCAGGCTCTGTATCTTGACAAAATCTTTCATCCTGTCATCTCCATCAGTAGATTACTGTGATAAGTTTCCCTTTATTGTTATGTCTAAAAGATTTATTGCTTTTGATAATCAACATATTTCACAAATCTCTGAGTACAATCAGATCACCGCATTACTTATAGTCTACAAGTTACGATTTTATTTGGACAGTTCCACTGGGAATATTGCTTTATGCGTTTTATTCATGTGCCACTTTTATCAGGGCAATCATCATCGTGATGACAGAGGCAGTATGACTTCTGAAACGTTGGTAAACATCGACCATACTACATGGCACAACCACCCAGAAGACAGTAATCTTCAACCTACACAATTCTTAAATCTGCATTTTTTTAAGAAACTCTCTGCATTTATATATGGATACCACTTCATTTATGACGCAATAAGTTGGCTATTTTTATCCCATATAAAATAATGGAAAGATAATAACAGCAAAAAATATAAAACAATTAAAATAAAAATTAACTCTTGTGGTTCACAAACAATAACCTTAAATATATATTCAATTTTTTCAACATAAAAGTTTACCTTGAAATTGTATTTTTATAATCAATTTAATTATATAATGTAAATAAATTAACATTACTGAGGTTGCACTATATTTCATTGTTATTATCTGCAACAATACAACTGAAAAATTATGTTAGCCAACACTTCTGCCAGCATTCCTTCATCTCTCTCTTCACTGGTGAATATACTACAATACTGAACTTCATGACAGCGTTACAGTTACTTTGCCATGGCATTATGCATCTTCCATACAAGGTTCCATGGTCTCACATCTGTCACAAATAGAACAGTCTTTACTTTTCCACCACTGGTTCTTCTTCAGACTCTTACAAGCAGCAGAATAAGCAGAGCTGTTGCAAGAGGACTCACACACATCGCATCCTGACCAGCGAGCTGATGAATTGGAATTTTCTGTGCTGGATTTAAACCAGCAAGCCAAGCTCCCTTTCTCTGACCGTTCTAAAAGTCTCCCAGTCAAACCTGTGATAAACAGATGCACTGAGAACCAAAATGGATTCTTTCAATTTCTCCCTTTCAAAAAGAGATCCCATTATATACTGATTTGGATTATATGTAATTTTCAAATGGCTGTTTCTTATTTAATAGTAGTCAATTAGGAGCAGCAGGGATGCAATTTTCTAAGATGTAAAGAACACTTTAAGACGAATTAACAACAGAATAAGATTATAAAATCAAATGAAAAACATATCAAAAATAAAGAAAGTTATTTAATAACATAAATTTTGTAAATGAAAGTTTATTTATTCAAGAAAGTAGTAATGGGTATTTGCTTGTAAGCTTCTTTCCATTTCTTTGTGGCAAGGGCATGCCAGTACCAGAAAAGTAGTACATCTCTAGCAACAGATGTGGAAGGTGCATGTTAGGGGGAGGGTGATTAATTCCACTACATGCAGAGTTGACTGATGATAAAATGGAGCGCATCGACACAGCACGTCAGACAAAACAGAATGCTGGATAACCAGATGTCAGATAATTAAGGACTGTACTGTAAGAGTACACACCGATGATTCCAACTCGTCGATTTTAATGCCTTACACAGTAAACATAAAAGTTCTGACTTTCATACACATATGTCCAGTAACTGTAGAAAAATTATACTGCTATTAAATTTAAAAATGAAAAGAAGTTTGTACAACCCCAAGTGCAAGGTTTTATAACAGAACCACAAGACTAGATTAACATGTGCATGTATATATGAAACAAAGTTCCTTACATTTCTGTTTAACACAAAATGATGAATTGGGAAGGATCTAAAAGGAAGCAGTTACGGACTATTCCGAGACAAAATGCCAGCATTTGCCTGAAAAGATTGAAAAACCATAAAAGCTTTAGTCTCTGGGCTGTAATTTTAAACTGGGACTCCAAAATTTGAAGTAGGATGCAAACAACTACACAAATACCAGTAACTTTCTTCAGTAAGGTAGCTAAAATAATGAGGCTTTCGACAAAAATCTGACACTCAGCAGTTATACAGAAAGATAAATTATTCCTTGTATATGAGCTTACACAATTATGTATGTTATAACAATGTTTTCCCCATTTAATGGTACCTGCACCTTGTCATGGTCGTATGGCTTGAGTACCTCAGTGACCCCAAGAGCTACTGGTAGGGCCTCCCTAGCCAGATTGGTCGAGGGGGAGAGGTCAGACTAAGAGGTACTGTGGTCCTCCAGGTTGGGGGTTGGTCGCAAGGCTAACAACCTTGCACCGTATAAAGGAAGATGTTTCGAAACCTCAATCAAAGCCTCGGACAGACAGACCTAACAGAGGACCGAATGGAAGAGGAGAATTGAGGAGGCCATGGACCGAATACGGACCAGAGAGCCATAGAAGAAGAAGAGAATAACAATGTTTTCATAATTTATCCATCTTCATGTTTAAGACTCTTAACTAGAATAAACATAATACTAACTAAATACTTCGAGCATACATGAGAAATAAAACACATGGACTTAATCAATACTTAAAGAAAAGAAAATATTACCATTGTTTTTGTTGTGGGTTGAGTCCTCTGATGATGGTGCTGATAAAGATGGCACAGATTCCTGGCTTGGACAAGAGAAAGAGGATTGTTCTTCAGAATGTTGACCTACATCTGCTATAATATTCTCAGGTGTTAGTTCACAAGAACTTTCCACACATGAAGACAAGGGTAAGGAATGTGTAGTTTCAGAGACTTCATGTGTTTGCTCTTTGTCTGCAAATTCTGTATGTCCATTCAGAGTGGTTGAAGGAATTAACTTTTCTACTGGAAGACCCAAAACTCTAGAGTTATCTTCCAGTAAGTGTACACAATCATTCATTATTTCTCTCATGGAATTTGAACTTTTCCCATCTACTGTGCACGCATTTAACATTGGAATATCATTTCCGCCTTCACTGTTGCTATCGATATTCACTTTACCACTGATATTTTCAAACACCCACAGTCCACCATGATCATTCTTTTCTGTACATGGTTGTATATGAATTATGCTTGTACTCATATTATTCTCTGTAAATCCTTCATCAATTTCATCTGTTCCATTATCAGCCTTCTCGAATGACTTTCCATTATCATGTCGATTATCAGCAAAGTGTTTTTGTTTCAAAATATTATGACTGTTTCCTCCAGACAGAACATCTTCATCATTAAATGAAACACGACTGCAAGAATAAGTTTCGGGTGTCTTAGAATAACTACTCTGGGAAAGAGATCTTATATTAGTGAATGTATCATCAGACTGCGTTTTGGGGGAAATTACTATTTTATGAGTAAAACAATAATCTTTCAATGATGATTCATTATCAGACAAATCCTCTAGATTCAGTTCATTTAAAAACTTCTCTGGTATTCCATCAGATCTTTCTCTTATATGCTCGTTGGCAGATAGCTTTTGAGCACTGGCTTCTGGAAATGGCATAATTTCTTCTATGAATATTTCCTTACCATATTTCTTGATCGCCAACACACAATTTCCACTCTTTTTATGTGGCATTACTTCATTCAAACATTTTTTATTCATTAATTTTTTTGTATTATGATGCCTCTGTACTGACTTGTCATGATTTATATTAGCTGCTTCTTCATTTAAAAAGCATTTAATGGAAAATCCGGCGGCATTTCCTACATCACAAACATTCTTCAATCTTGCAACATGCTTTTCTTTATTTGCCTCAACTACTAAATCCTTATCACCTGTTACTCCTTCGTGTTCATTGACAGACACTGTCACATTTTGAAGTTGCACATCAGTATTCTGCTGTGTGGCTACATACTCACTCTCACATCTTTCACAGTTTGACGTAAAATATACTTCTTGTACCTCATCTTGGGGCTTGCCACATGACGGTTCTTCCAATACACTACAATCGTTTAAAATTTTTCTGTTTGACTTCCTCTGCACCTCATTCCTTTTATTTGACATATTCTCTTGAATACCATCATCTAACACCTGCCCCTTGTTCCCTCCTGCAATGGACGTAACTTTTAATACTTCACTTTCTTTACAGAACACAGTCTCTTCTTCAGGTGTGTTTTCAATATGACTTCTTTCAGCTAATTCTTTGGGAACTTCATCATCACCTATCATTTCTTGTGGTAAATATGATTTTATTGTATCATAAGCAGGAATATCTTTACTTTGTTGTGACTTTTTAAGTGTGCATGCAACTTTGACAACTGTCACACCACTCTTTTGGCCTCTATCATCACTTCTACTATTGAGCTCCTTATGGTGAAATTGCTGTCTTGGCATATGCAGATATCTTGAAGACTGTATTCTTTTTTCATCTTCAAGTACTGGTGAGAACTCCATTAGAGATTCCCTCTGTGAGAATAGCTTACGTTTTGAAATGTGATTTTGTGGATATTCCCTCTTATTTGGTTCAATTGAAGGCAAAAATACAGTACTGTCTATGCTGCCTACACTTGCATCTGTACTGCTGTCAAAACAACATGTGCATCCCAATGCTGGATGATCAGGATGAGCATTGCTTCTTATATTTGTTTCAGGTTCTGACTTTTGTGTGCTACCAACTTCAGGATTTTGTGTCAAATGTATGCCATTTGCAGATGACGTTTTCTTCTTCTTAGCCCCTTGAAAGAAACGTGGAAATGGAGGAATTTTAAGATTTTGATATATTACACTAACTTAGAAACTAAATAAATTAATATACAGATATGGAATGTCACTCTCAGCAACTAAATGGATGGCATTCAGAAGATATGATCCTATTAAAAGAAAAATGGTTATAAACACCAAACTAATAGAAAACAATTAATTATCTTGGTGTTCAACATAAGCTGTACTACATAAAACAGTTTCACACCTTCTTCCACTATTATTTAAATGGGTACAGATATTGTATATGAGCCGGGATAGCTCAGTCAGTATAGTGACTAGCTACGGGCTGGACGGCCGGGGTTCGATCCCCGACGGGGGCAGAGGATTTTTCCTCTAGCCTCTGCGTCCAGACCGGCTCTGGGGCCCACCCAGCCTCCTCTACAATGGGTACCGGGGTTCTTTCCCGGGGGTAAAGCCGGCCGGGGCGTGATGCTGACCACTCACCCCTATCTAGTGCCGAGGTCAAGGAAGGGAGGAGCTATACCTCCTCTCACCCCAAACGCCTACATGGCGTATAGTGGGACAAACTTTACTTTTAACTTTACAGATATTGTATGAAATGTTAAAAAATGTAACATGTAGCATGGCTTATGTTATCACTCTGTAATAGCATGGTTTTGAAAGGTGTGAAAAGGATAGAGAAAAAGAAGAAACAGGGAGAGGAAATGATAATAGAATGGACAAATGAAAGGAAAATAGGAGAAATGAGAAAAGGTATATAAGTAATAAACAAAAGGAACAAAGAGGACAAGAGATGAAGATATGACACAAATCATACCCTGATGAATTTCAATCAACATTTTATTCTAGTATGAAAATACTAAGCATAATAAGAAGCCTTCAACCACAGCTGCAGAGCCTGTCACAGCTGAAAAAAGCTCCTGTGGGATCACCTCTACCCTTGTCTGAGTCGTATAACACTGATGACCCATTTCGTGTTTTACACATTTTCGACATATGTGGCGATTCACAGGAATGCAATCCCCGTGTATAATCAGTCACCTGTCTACACAAAATTATAATTTTATCTGTTGTTCTGTATGGGTCTCTCAGAGAGGGAACAATATGAACTGAGGATGTTTGAAAACAGGGGGCTTCAGAAAGTACTTGGACCTAAGTGACAAAAAGGTGGAGAAAAACTGTGAATTTTGCTCCATGGTGCTGGTTGGTTTCCTGCCACTTCTAACAAATGAAAGTTGAAAGGCCATCTCCTCTGCAGAAATTAATAATTTACAACACCAAATAATTAATATAGCCTGAATTATTTAACATACGGGATTCCTTCTTTTCAACAAAACTATTACAACATAACCAACAAATTCAGTGGAGTTTGAAGTGATTTAAAAACTTTCCTGAATATGATATCTTATTAACTGTATCATTGCTTCTGACAGATGTCAGCAAACTGCTGGAACACTTCACTTTTAAATACATGATATATAATACAGGCACTTACCCAGTGCATTTATGGATGTGCATAGCACGAAGATGACCACATCTAAGTATAGGCTTGCTCTTAAATATACATAAGGGGGAAAAAAAGAAAGCCAACTTGATTTATAATGGCAGCTCAATATTCACTTTAATATTTGGCAGTGAGTTTAAAAATCAGTTATCATTACATAATATAATTTAGATATTAGTTAAGCTTACTTTTTACTTCAGCTTTCATTATTTTTGTCACCACATCACTGGGCAAATAATTGTTCAGTTTCTTCATAAGAGTTTTACGATACCTCTCCTTCATGGACTGCCAAGAACGACCTGTAAAACAAAAACCAATGAGGCGCAATATTAGACAGCCCGATTGTCTCCCAAAGACAATCCCAGTGTACAGAAAGTCATAACCATTCTGAAGTGTTTTAAATTTATGAAGAAAAAAAAGATGTGTTCAAGTATGGACATTTACTCTCATTTAATGCTGGTGATATAAAAAGAAACTAACCATGAACCAGATGAGAAAGACACACAGTATTAAGTCTTCACTGTATAAACATTACTTTTATTAACCTATGCTGGCTTCTGCCTCTACTGGTTACTCCCTTACCAGGAACAACCTGCTTTTGTTCCATGAACATCCACAGATGTACTCCTCCAGCTCGATCATATCTTTTCTTCTGAACAATAAAATTAAGCAGAGCTTTATCTTCATCTTCTCTGTAAAAATTTGAACTTCTACTGAAAAAAAAAGTGTGTATGTTTACAATCAATACATTCCTTTCCATACAAACACTAAGACTTCTAAAACACTTCAAAAACTATACCTGAAAAAATTCTGTTTATTTTGATCGCCACAATGTTCAACACTTGAGTTACTTTGATTACCATTATTTTCACTGGAACTCCCACATCTCCTAGAAGATTAAACACAACTTGTTACGGTACAGATGATAATGAATTTTATTACAACTGCAACTGTTAACTACAACTAGTAGAAGTTTATTGATGTTTCAGAGGAGTTTGTTACCTACATCATTGCCTTGATAAACAAGGCAGCAAGCATCTCTGAAATGTTGATAAACTTCTACCAGACTACATAGTGTAACCCACAACACAGCCACAACAAAACACTAGACAGTAGGAATAATATAGATTCATAAGATTTTCACAACTAACAAGATAAATAGTCTCACTACATACAGGAAATCATGTGGCAGCTAAATAAAAAAGTCCAACAACTGAAACAAAATAAATAAATAAATACTGCTTCTGGAGTTATACTACATGTACCTCAAAGAAGGTCCCCTGTTTAATTCAAAACCAACATATAAAATGTCGCAGTGTTAAGAGTCTTGATTATTTCGAAAGTCAAAGAAAAAAATGTTACATGTTAAAATAACAGGGCCTCACAGGATGAATGTGTGTTTTGACACAATTTCATACACAATATGAAACATTAGAAACAAGCAACAGGAATGTTTATTATAAGGATCATGAAAATAATAATAAGAACACAAGAATGTAAAGATGCTCAATGGCATAATCCTGAAATAAAATATTATTGTATGTCATACATCTATGTAAGAATAAAGTCACTCACACAGAAGTGCTTGTTACCTTACTGTTAAACACCCTCATATCAAGATTAGAGCAGCATTATGATTATCAAAGTGTATATAACTAACCCATACAGCAGAACCCTTCTTTGGAATCTCGTAACTGCTGAGTTAGACACACAGAAAATCAAGGATGGGAATGAAGATGAACAAAATACCAATTATTATAAGACAAGCATAAAGTGGCATAGTGGCATTAATGATGACATGAAGAAAGGATGGAAACTGAAGGCAGTAATGGGTGACAACGGAAAAATAAAGATAAGTTCAAGATGATTTTAAAAGCAGTCAACAGCGATGGAACGGAAAATAACAATTATTTTGTTCTTAGTAGTACACAGACTCAACTCGTTGTGTTTAAATCTGGATTAATATTAAAGGTCTGTCTGCACTAGTTACACATAATAATATACAACAAAGGTTTGTCATTGAACGAATCAATTATTATCTTTAACTGAACCAACAGTTTTCGCAATGGATGCATTAAAGGCTGGATGTCTCCTTAAAATGTCATGTACAAACTGCTGAAAAACATCTGCTACCATTTTTATAATACTTCAGAATAAGTGACAGGTATCTGCACAAATGTCACTTTAAAAACTGACAATGTCAATTGGTATATACAGATGTTTCGCAAAAACCTGTTGTGGAAACTTCAAGCTTTGGTCCCAACACAACACAAAGCAAGATGACTAACCTGTTAAGCTGAGAAGTAGATTCTTGTAATAAATTTTCTCTCTGCCTTTGTTTCCTTGTGATATCCCTTCTGAAAAATATAGACATAATCTCTCATATGTAATATTACAGATAAAATAATGGTAACTTTTGCTTTGTTTACAAAGTTGCAAACATATCTGGCACAACAATCCTGCTTCATATTTGGAAGATCCTGGGTTCAAATCTCAGCCTAGAGACTGGCTATCCTGATTGAGGTTTGTAGTGATTTTTCTCAGTTTCTCCATGCAAATGTCAGGATAGTACTTTGAATTAAGCCATGATTGCTTCCTTCCACATCCTTTCCAATTCATTATTCACCGTCATCCACTCATCCAGTACTATATAGTCCAAGCTACTACAAGAGTTGTTAAATAAACTATAAAAATAAATATCTGGTATCAAAAAATGTTACTTGGTTTTGTGGTTTTGCTGTTGTACATTAGTTTGTGCTTCTGTGCAACTGATTACTTCCATCAGATTTTCTAAAAATAGTTGAAATACCAGAAACTCAGTCAAACTCTATTGGTCCTATGTCAAATTACAAGCTAATTTTATGAACCTAATGGAAGTAATTCTGTCATCAGCAACCACATGAATATAAAATATTACAAAATAGTTATAATGACTTGCCAAAATCTTGCACAATAAAGACATGAGTACAAAAATAAATTTATGTTCTGAGCATTAAGGACAATAAACTACTACAAACACAGTTATTAAAACTGAATCATGCATTGACAAACAAGAACTTACAAATCAATACACAATAACTAAACATGGCAATACTTACATATTGTTAAACAAGGCGATCTGAGATTCTGAAAGGTTGAATGATTTAATGTTTGGTAAGATCTTCTTGAGGAACCGTTCCTTCATAGATTGCCATGTCCTTTTCTTGCACACCTGAAAATTTGGTGTATGTTTTGCAAAAAAATCAAAGCTTTGTATGACAAACAGTTTAAACCACTTATTTAATCTCCAGCAAATCAATACAATAAAGCTAATTATTACAACTCAAATTTACATTTAAGATCTTATCTTGCAAGTTCTTTGGAATGGTTAGAAATCTAGGATAGGTATGTCTTCTGGAGAAGGGAGTGTAACTGATCACATGCACATGCTTACAAATACATCAAAGTACTGAACACCACACTTCATAACGTCGATTAAATACAGCAAATGATATTGGTTCCACACATACCCAGGAATCCTCAACCCTACGGTTCATGCCTGCAGAAAATTGAGTACTAACCTAATTCACAAAAAACACAATATTATTTTAAGTGTTCCAAATAGTGTCCATACCTTAATTTAAAGGCAAAATCTGAGATAAAAATGTGAGTAAATTAGCTGAGGCTTACAGTAATGTTTTTACTAAAATGACAGTGATATAAAAAAATGGCTAAACAAGTATTATCAAAAAACAATGTGTAAAACATCTCTACAACAGAGACCTACAATTAAGAAAGGAAATCTGTGGTCTTATTATAATAAACTATAGAGAATTTACATTGTTTGTTACTTACCTGACTTTAAGATAAGTCACAAATAAAGAAACATGCATAAAAATAAATGCAATTCAACCATTTCTAGGAAAATAAGATACCTGACACCTGAAACATTACCTTGAAACATGAATTTCACACTGAGATAAAAATATTTAAAATCTGCTATTTAGTCCTGTTTCTGTACAGCAGTGGCTCTGGACTTTTTTTAATTGAGAGATCTTTTCTACAAGCCTGCAATCAGCAAGTGTATATACGTATGTGATACCATGTAAGGAAATGTTTAAAAGTTAAGAGAATGTACATGTGTACCCAGCTTAAAGTGTTAAATTATAATTTAACAAATCATGTTACATGATCATGGCAGATCACATAGACGCAAAGGACCTTTGGTGCAATGATTCTTTCATTCTCATGAACAGCATATGATGCTAATTCTAAATTAAATGGTTGTTATATATACTGAAGAACTGTTGTGGAAACATCTTAGGAGGAAGCAGAGGAAGAATGAGAAAAAGTGTGAGAATGGATTTGTACACATCTTAATGTTCAATATTTATTATACTTTTCTTTACCATATTTTCTTCCATCAACTTCCATAAAGCAGTGCCCTTTACCAGACCATATGCATTATGTCTCACCACATAATTCACTATTTCTTCTTCCTCTGCCTGCAAGTAATTCCTGAAGCAAAGAGCAACATTAAACTATTGATTAACTTCATATGCAATTATTAGCACAATACATTTAAAAATTCACTCTCTCCTTCACACCCACTAACCCTGTGTTTACTAAACTTCTCCAATTGAGAAACCATTGCACATTAAAGAACACTAACACTCTCTTCCCCCACAAACAAATAACTGGACAGTTTTGCAAGGCACACAAAGAGAAAAAACAACCAATCTATGGTGCACAGTCAGCTTTGATAAGCCACCAACTTCACACAGAATGAGATTAGCCCCTTCCAATGGACCCAACTAATTCAGTTGTTCACCTGACGGCAGAAGCAAAGCCAGCTTCTGAACTTTGTGTTTTTCTAAACATAAAGGGATTAAAATGTCAAAAAATAGTAAACCAGTTTAACTTATAATTTAGTTTACTATATCACCTTTGCCTCCACAAGTGCAAACTTAATTCCATATGGGCTTCATCTTCACCACCACTACTGCTACCATCAGCCAAAAATGAGGACTGCATTGTAAAAAATGACCCACTTCTGAAATTATAAAATAGCTATTAATTGAGGGTATTTGAGAACATATGAAATTCCAATAATGTCATATTGTACAAAAATGTTTGATGTGGAGGAAGATGGTTGCCTTCTGGGTTGTTGTGCTGATATTCTATAGAAGTTTACCAATGTTTCAGAGGTCCTTGCTGACTCCATCACCCTGATGATGGAGGCAGCAAGGACCTCTGAAATGATGTTAAACTTCTACCAGACTACACAGCACAACAACCCAGAAAACAATCATCTTTGGACTCACTACCATGAAAACCTCAAATCCTACACGTTTGATGTAGAATACGTCACAGTTTGACAGGAAGACACAAAAGAGATTCATGCTTGATGCAGTCCCAAATCACTGTAGTCTAAAAGAAGGGGATTCTTTGTTATGTCACTTTTTAATTTTGCTATGGAATACAACATTAGTGGGAGGGTTTGAAAATGAAAGTAACTTGGGTGTGCTCACTTACAAAAGAAAAAAGAATGACTCATGATCAAATTCAGATCATATTGAATCCTCTAAAAATGCAGCAAAGTTCAAGTATGTGTTATGAGCAATAACAAAAATTATATCTTTGATTAAATGCAGGGTAGAATAAACAGGATATTTTTCCATAATTCATAGATAAATGGACTGAAAGGTCACTGTGTCATTCTTTTTTTCAGTCTCAACTGGATATATTTTCATGTTAAATAAAGTACTGATATGTAAGGGGTCTACAGTGGCCACGTGGTCTGAGGCGTGGGCCTTGTGCCGCTTGGTCGCTGGTACCGTGGGTTTGAATCCCACTCAAGCTATGGATGTTTGTCCGCGTTTTTCTGTTTTGTGCCTACCAAATGACTATATATCGAGCCAACGAAAAGTTGGGACCCGTAATGCTCAGGCACTTGAAGAATGGGCCGTTCCCAGTATTTATATGTAACACAGAACTTTTTATCTAGTGGATGTAATTGAAGGTGTTCAAACTTGGTCTCAGGCTGAAAGGTATAGTAAAGCTGTCTTGTGATATGAAAACAGTACTTACCTTTTCAAACCCATCTGTATTTATATGACACTTGTAGGTGCCTAAAATGGTTTGCATTGAATATTGGATATATCAATTTAAAATTATTTTTTCAATCACATCATATATGGAGTAATATAAAGAAAAGTGCATCATACTTTAATAATATGATCCTCTTTGATATCCATTCCACAATTCACCGAAACATAAATGTTACTGCCGGTTTCATTTACACACATTTTAACGAATCCATCTAATTTTGAGGTTATTCCATGACAGAATGTTGACATGCTGTACTGCTCTCCTAAATGCATTAAAGGCTCAAGCTAATATACACTATCATTGCAATGAAATTTTTATTTCATAATTTGCTGAATACAGAAGATTTTATTGGAAAACAATTTATTATATTACATTCAAAACTGGTGATCACACAAGCCATTGCTATTGCCATCCTTATTCCACTTACCCATATGGGGGAAGGGCAGATGGACATACCTATTTTAGCTTTCTATACTAATATTGGTTTAGGTTTTTAGGTAGTGTATAATCATAAAATGAAGTACATATTATTCATTCTTAACTTCATATTTAAATCCATACCAGCATTTATGGCAAAAAGTTACAAAGTACATACGCATATCAATTCCTGGCAAGGCATTGAGATTTTTTCTTCATATACGCGGCCAAACGTCCACACAAATTTGTAAATTTAATTACAATTTAAAAATAACCAGTAACACGCTTACCTCAGGAATACAATTATCCTGAACCGACCCTGACTTCCACTTATTCATGTACATTAAGCCTAGCTTTAGTAATATTGAACATATTCACGGTGCTCAAAGAGAGCACGAAATGCAAAGAAAAGCGTCATGGTGTTCGTACGCATACAAAACTTCTGTTACGAAAAATGTTCATAATGGAGGACAAAACTGCATTGCTATTTCGAAGTAGAACGTCCTTCCTCATGCAAACAGAGCAAGTGTCTGTAATGCACTAATTATTAACGTTAGTTTACACTTTACGATTCCATAATGTCCTGATACGGCAACATTCACGTGGTCGTCGCATTATATTTTAATCTACGGCGATAGTTTGACCGTTCGGAAAACGTAAGAAATTGATGGAGATTGCGATAAATACAACAGTTCTCTGACCACCACTTGTCTGACGGATACCTGTCCATCAACCATCTGGCAGGCGTTTAATTTACGAGCTCTGAGATTAGGAGCCTATCTCATTGCAGGAGGTAGCCAAACCGACAATTTTTCCCCGGCGCAACCCGCCACACATATATCACAGTTCATTCACTGCTGATAATTGGCAGTATACGCAGGACTATAGGCAATGTAAATATGTCGCAATAAATTATCAGCTTTTAAGGGTATTTTTAAACAATAGTTTTTGTTTTCGAACATACATTTAAAAATAAACAGCTACTATTTTACGTTACTTTTGTAAGAAAACATAATGACATTAAAGAAAATGTGTTTATGGGTTGGTTACCCTGCACTACTGCCTTTATCCTGAACAGATTTGTTCCCAGCATTTTCTCCAATGAAAACAATTTGGGTATAATGACGGCATACAGTTTTATATCTATTTAAAACGTCACCATTGTTGGTAGCTACAAAGAGAATGGAAAAGCTTCCGAAGAACTAGCTGCAGCATTAACTCTTTAAGACATGTTTACTTCGATAACGAGTTCTCAACATTTTCATACTTAGTGTGGCCCTACCATTTCTTATTCACTCGTGAGAGCAATTTAATGAAACATGGTATTTTATTAATCTATCAGTGAAGCGCGAGATCTTAGATCTTAATTTGGTGTTCATTAAGTTTAGCTGTAATTACTGCCAGAGTGACAATATTAAGTGTTTTGCAGATTATCATGCAGGTGGCTTGATATTAATAAATATGTGGGTCACACAAAATACTGAAGGACTGCATGCAGTCTGCAGGTTGAGAACCTCTGCCTTATTGTATTACATACCTGATTTTTAAACATTTGTTTTTGTGAAATTTATGCCCAACAAAATATCAAGCATGTTTCTGGAGAAATTAATGCACAAGCATTTTCTTGAAGTTAATGGTGGGTTTGCACTTGTAACAATGATCAATGTGATTAAGAACCATAAATGATAAATAAATTGATCAAAACTAGTTTTTATTTAAATGCAATATTTTTAGGGTTTCACTGAGAATTATTTTTTCAGGGCACACAAACCACAGACTACAGAATACAATAAGACTATCCTGCACTCAGGCAATATCATGTACAAGTACTATCATTTTGTGACTTAATGCATTACAATAATTTGACACTCTGCAACTGACAGTGGACTAATTTCTAAAGTATCCTGTTTTTGACTGTATAAATTTCTGTATATAGTATGATACTGATGACTATTTAAAAGTGATCAATTGTAATTAAAACTTTTTTGCAAAAGATAATAATCACCTAAATATACATGTGATTTCCCAACAATGTCATCACCAACTACTACAAGGATTGGACCTATTGTCAATTCTGGGACAGTTGCTCAAGGTAACTTGTCCTTAGTCATGTAGGGTGCATTTGAGTAGTGAGTGACAAACCCACTGCCTCTGCACAATTTCTACTCAATCCTGATTTGTTTTACTAGACCTCTAGTACAGAATCAAGTATAGCAACAAAATGGAAATAAGGTTGTAAAGGATGGTAAGTTCAATCAGAAAAGTGAGGGCCCACAGCATCAGACATTTGACAAGTAAATGGTGAAATCTGAGTGTGAATGAAATATCTGCTTCTGTATGCAATAAATGAATGTTTATTTCACTAAACTCCCTTAAAACTTACTCATAGAACTGCCACTTGTAACAAGAAAAAATACTGAATAGAAGAAGAAGAAAGGATTGCAGTTTGCTGTTGTACTGCACAATTTTATCATGTTGATCACCTGACTCTCCAACATCATTAAATGGGGCTGTACTCTAGCAATTAAAATCTTCTGAATTAACTTGCAATGTGTTCCACCCATTTGGCCCTACCTTGCCTCCTATAATAAGAAAAAACAGTGAAATATTGACAAGCAGAAATATATATATAAAACAATCCTCGACTCACTTTATTAACCAGTTCATATGTAACAAAATATACACCTGCAAGATTTCAACTTGTTCATCTGACACCATGTCCTGAACCAAGACGGATGCTTACATCCACAGGAGAGTCCCGCTCGTAGGTTACCTCCATGTCTAACTCATCATCATCTTCATCATCATGAGTGTCACTATCATCATCATTATCATCTTCCTCTTCATCATCTTCTTCCTCTTCCTCAAGATGCTGTAACATTTTTTTTCTTCATAAATCCAACTACATGAAGTTCACTTTCTAACCATAAAAACACAATTATGAAATTTAAAATTGAATATACTCATATGCTATATGAAAAACATTACTGAAAAAAATTAAAAAAACTAAGTGATCCCTGTTGTGGGTGTTTTAGTGTGTCTGAAATCTGTGACATTTTAATCTAAAAAATTAGGGTATAACTACTGGTTACTTGGACATGTCAATCATGGCACTGCATTATCTTGATATATTAGTGTATTCTTGCCAGACAAATAGTGAAATTAAATGTTTGAGATATAAACATAAAAAATACATGTCTTTGTGAAATATTTCAAACACATTATTAACCAACTGAAATATTTTTATCCTCTTTCTTTTACTTTCTTGCATATTTTGACTCCTTGCATGGCAATGTGTGACACACTGAAAGATGTAGCTAATAAATTATCTCAACATGCCAATTAAATAACAATTACTTAAAAAGATATTATACTGATTTCTTTCTGGATCTTTGCCAACATCTATCAGGAACAAAATTAAATAAAAGTTAAAACAGGACAAATGAGCATAATTATGTACACCTGATTCCTAATTAGGGACTTCATGGTTCAGTTCTGTGATATCTTTCGTGGTTACAAGCACTCGCTGACAGAGTTGTATAAAAGTACAGGTAGCAGGAAAGGTAAATTGGAGGTGATACTGCATTAGCCTCAAAGAATATTTTAAAAACAAAGCTGGAACTAAAAACTATAATTATTTTTTATTTAACATCACTTAAAATACCTCTGATGCTGTTTTTCCAATAGGAATCAAGTCAGAATCTTCCTGTGCTATAGAGTTCAGCTGGAACAGAGCAAGTAAGGCACATATCACTATGAAGTTCAACGAAATGTACATAAATAGTGAACTTTAGAATTTTAGTTCATTGAGAATTAAAAATTCTCTCACCATTCACTGCCTGCACTATATACAGCCTTATAAACTGACCCCACCTCCTACCCACCTTGAAAATGCAACTGCAATGTTTGCCGAAATTTTGGTAAACACCAAACATTTGTGGCGGCTCTAACCCGAAGTTGTAAAAATAACAGATGGATTTCAGTTCTCTGAATGACTGCACCTCATTCAAGCATTATCATTTAATCATGTAGTCTCCCACCTATGCATAATTACCTCCATGCCCTTTCAAAAGATGCATCCAATTCAAACTTACCCACGTTTGATGTTCTTGTTCCAGCTGCACAATCTCATTTTCATCGTCGCAGGGTCTGTCAACACTAAACCACAAGGAATCGGTAATTTTAGGTGTCAAACTAGGAAACAGAGGAACAGGCATGTTCACTTTATTAATGCAGCAACCAGAATAACATCACAAATTTACTCACATAAATCCTGCGTAACGTACAAAGATCATACAAATCACACAGACACACTCCGTGAACAAAATAGAGACTACAACCAATAGTAAGTAGGCTGCATTTCTCACGTGTTCCCTGACAAATACAATATCCAAAAATTAACATTCTATGATCCGTGAATTCACACTGTACCAACCTAATATTACAATATGTCCCTCGAAGTAAAGCTTTATAATTGCAATTACTGGATTTCGTACGCGATCTGGTATTTTTTATGTGAACTTAGATGCGAGTACACTCAACTCGTTGAACGTTTTGTTGAATTTGTAATTTAAAAACAAGTGAAAGCGTCCATCTTAGTAGGCCCGATTTCTTCTTACAATACATCACGGATTGGTGTGAAATAAACCGTTATGAAATAATTAAACATTTCTTTTGCTGTCCGTTAATAATCTCTTTACTGGCAATGGCGATTACTTAATGCACTAAATAGTTGCCACACAACGATGAAACGTCCAGAAAGCTAAATTTCTGGAACCCGCCGAAAAAATTAAAGTCCTAAGAAAGGTTTCACGATTTTTGAATGGGCATATTTATGGAAATCAAAAATTATACTGAAGATGGCTGTCTTCTGGGTTGTTACGCTGTGTAGTTTGGTAGAATCCTAAGACTGCACTTCGATATAGAAGGAAGGGGGAGGAAAAAAAGAAATAAAAGGTAAACTTCTACAAGACTACATGGCACAACAACCCAGAATGCAGCCATCTTCAGACTCTGCCGTGAAAACCTCTAATGCTACAAAAATTATACTTATGGTTGGGATCCATATATAATCATTTTGTACATACTTGCATAAGAATCGCATTATAATTCTAATAATTCCCAACATTTAAAGCACTCTGTGAATGAAACTTTGATTTCTTAGTTACTCTAAAATATATGAATCTTGCCAAATGTGATTTTTTGAGACAAACAATGTCACAGTATTCCAGCTTTTTCTCCAGTATCTTATGAATTCAGAATATCTGTATAAGTTATATTTTTCTGTTAAAGTAAAATATCAAACGATTTGAATTTTACACATAAGTATTAAACACTTCAGATGATTTTGCTTGAGAATCTGATTCCTAGCCCATAAAGCTTACTACTTCTCTTATATTTTCAGACATTACTTGGAAAAAAAAAAATATCAGCAATATAAAGGATGCCTATTTAATATGGTTACAAGAGAATGTTTTAATCATTTTACTGGACACAATGTGGCTGAGCTTGCCTTTAGTTCCCTACAATCTTGCTTCCTTAAAGATGAAACCAGACAGAAGTGACTTCAACTTTACAGCAACAAGATATGACAAAAAACATGTAATGTACACACTTATTCTTCAGACAAAAACTGAAAACCATAATACAATCCAGAGAGCACAAAATGCACAATGTTTTGTAGTTTTGTGTGAAACTTCATACACCAGGTTCTGTGTGTGTCTTCTCTCTCAGTATATAAACATTAAGATCATACTGACTGTAATTCTGCAAGTATTTAATATGTTATTCAATAAGAAATTCATACAGAATAAACTATTCATATGCATTTACTGTTAAGAAATTCATGAAATCTACTTTGTTTTGAATGGGTGATCGTGTTGGTCGACCAAGATCCTTTCTGCTACCTGGGCGGACTTTTATTTCCAACATGGCTGGCCCAATAGTTTCTTGAAGCCACTGCACCCCACTCATCAAATCATTTGCAGTCTCTGCTACCTTTCCCTGCAAGTTGTCACATGTATAATTAAACTGATAATGAACAAAAATTAGCAATATTGTGGTAAAGATGGTGATGCTGCTGCTGCTGCTGCTGATGATGATGTAAAATAAAACTAATGTTGTTTATGTGTCTAAGCACCACTTCAAAAGTGTGTGGGAAGCAGAGAGATAAAGCTCCATACATTGTACAGACTTCGGCACTATGGCTGCTTTACATCGGGGAAAATCACTTCATACCCATTGAATGAGGCCCATAGTACTGATGCATGTGATGTTAACATCAAAGTTATAAGAGATGCATACCTCCAAGAAAAAAATAACTAATTTCTTAAAGATGCGTGTAATTTTATAATGTAATTCTGGTATAATTTATTTTGTTTCTCAGAAAGTTTGGCTACGAATAGAATTAATATTAAAAATGTTGATACGAGGCTCTTACTCAGCAGAACTTACGAAAGAAATGAAAAATCACAAACAACAGCACCATTCTTGAAACAAATTTGCACACAATTTTTATTCCATCTGCAAGTACTAAAATAAATATGTTAACTGTAACTGCTATGTAGTCTGTGTGTTTATGCCATCACATGCACAGTTTTACCCCTCCACCACCAGAGAATTTAAAGAAAAACAAACAAACAAACAATAGAGTGGTGGATATGGTAGTTTATCTAATCAATATTGTCATGTGCAATTTTTCTCTACAATTAGTGCAAATGACACTGTCATTTAAGAGCTAGGAGAAGATTCACAAACTTTCTGCTAATATCTTGCAATAGAAGTGTTAGGACAGTTTATTATATTGGTATGTCTGAAAAACAAAATTACAATGTTGTACCTGAGTGTATCCACTGTTGACAGCAATACCAGTAATACGGAATGTGCAAGAATTAAATGCTGCTGTTTGCTGGCCTCCAACAGAATCATGAGCACCATTATTAAAGACAATGTGCTTCAAATTTCGAGGTCTCATCTGGCCAATTATTGACAGTGCTCCCATGTGCATAATTACTGATGCATCACCATCCAGGCAAAATACCTGTAACACGAGAATACAGGAGATGATTATAGTGTTACAAAACACAATAATATATATATATATATGTGACCTATAATATGGCAGCTTAGGTCTCTGATGATTGAGGCAGCAAGCATGACTGAAACATTGGCAAACTTCTACCAGACTACACAGCACAACATCTCAAGAGACGGACATCATGTTTTGAAAGTATTGTGTTCATTGTAATTTTATTATAGAAAATCTTACTAATTTATTTAGGTTCTGTATCTGTGACTTACATGACTAAACAGTGTAGTTGAAGGGCATAACTATATTATGCACCAACTGAAGGTTGTGACCAACATTCACACATCTTTATAACCACATACTTGTCGTTTAGGTTTCTTCAGTGCTATTCCCAGAGCAATTGTAGATGCATGTCCCATAGATCCAACTGTAAGAAAGTCCCTTTCATGGCCTTGTTCTCGTGCTACTCGATGCTCAAACAGCTCCCGAGAAAGCATTCCTGTTGTGCTGACAACTACATCACTGTCATGAAGTGAGTCTACAACCATCTTAAGGGCCACTTCTCTTGACAATGGATATCTGAAAATAAAAGAAGAAAATAACAAACTATCTTAAGATCTTGCAAAAATAAAACAAAATTAACACTGTGTTCTCCAAAATGTGGAGTACTATATAAAATCTCACAAAGATTTACAACATTTTGAAGAAAATTCTGTAAGAATGAAACATGTTAATATGGAGCATGAAAATTATAAGTAACTAAGTTAACAGAAAGAAGGCTAAATTAGGAGGAGTGAAGATTTCTAAAGTATGAAACTTCCTGAACTTACATAAATAAGAAGCAAAATAAATGAGACTGAAGTAAATACAAGAGGGGGAAGACACTCTACAAGTCGCATATTTTTCCAAATTCATTCTTTACTATTTTGCATACCTTATTGGCATTGATGTTTATTTGTTTTAGATACAAACCTATTGTTGCTATGCCAGAATTAATTTATGACACTTACTCCGAAGTTGGTCTTGGACGTTTATATGGTAAAAATGTCTGCCTCTTTACTAAAAGTGCATAAGGACTGCTATGGTTCTCCATGTACTGTTTTGCTGTATTCAGAGCATTCTTGGCTCCTTCAATGTAATCAGGCAGTGGCGAAAATGGGATATGTAGTGTGTCTGAGAGAGGAAAAATTACATGGCAGTAGTGCATTACAAAGAAATAATTCAACAACCTGAAAAAACAAATATATCAAGGGCGTGCAAATTGTGAAATGTCCTATTCACCAAATCTGTGCATTTATGTGTGAAAGAAAGAAAGATTAATATTTTCCACAGAATTCACAAATATCTGCTTTGATAAATTCAACACAATTTTAAACATGGGTCATACACAAGAAAATGATACAAAGTTACTATGATGAAGGCAGGTGGATATATACATTCTGGTACAGAATCAGTTTCGTGGTTTTGTAAGTTAATATCAACTTGATTTTCAACAGGCATACTGGTTTGACTGAGAAATTTTCTGTTACAGTTACATAATTTGGTATTTAGAGACATTTTAATGAAATCATGAGTCAGATATAGGAATGCCCAGTAAGAGCAATATAACAATATGTACTTGCCCAGCAGTTGAGATGTAATCTGCCCCTGAAGCATATGTTGGGGCTCATCACGCTTTCCTGGCTCTCCTCTCCAGCCAATCAGCAGTAGCATAGGCACTGAGTATACTTCTGGGGCAGCAAGTGATACAAGTGGATTCACAGTGTTGCCTAATCCAGAGTTCTGGATGGTAAGAATGACACTTGTATTTGAAACATATCTCATTCAAATCTTGAACACCCGGTGACAGCACAAATCTTTGAAATTACATTCAACAAATTTAAAGCATACAAAACCTCTACTTAAGCAATAAGTAGTTCCCAAGAAGACAATAAATACTAATATTAACAACAAGTCTGAAAAGGTGTACTCTTTCAAGTACACCAACATTTCAAAGGTGTTCTTCACGCCACTTCACGTGCATTGTTCTTGCACTAATGTTACTGAATCATTCCAACCAAACAAAATTAACCCTGCCCATCAGGAGCACCTGCAACATTTAAAACTGCAAGCAGTAAAAGAAGTTATCTTGACTGGGATGTGAATATATGACAATCTTCTCTCACACCGAGTATGCTTGATGTGGTTTGCTTTCTTACGATTTTGAAATAAAACTCTGAATGTTAAGAAATAATATCTCACTAGCTGAAAATGGTTACAAACTCTGTTAAGTTGAATAAGTCAATTCATATTAAATGAGACAAAAATTACCTGGAGGTAAACAAGGCTGGCATTGCCTGTTGCAAGATGATACCCAGCTGCTAAACCAATAGCATTGCCCTCATTTGCAGTTATTATATGATGGGACTCCTTCTCATTATAAGCAACGTATGCACAGAAATCTGTAAAAAAGATTAAGAAGTCTGACAATATAACTTGAGCCACCACCAATTAGTAGCAAATTCATTTACATATACATGATGCAATATAACAATGTATAAAATTAACTTGATTGTGAAACAAAATATTAAGAAAAATAACAAATTAAACAGTGATTAAAATAAATGTCTTAAATATGAGGCCACAGATGCCAGTAAGGATGCATAACATCCTGTTCATGACAGTCATCATATGTGGCAGCAAAACATAGGTGCTAAGATCACAAGATCAGCAGAGAATAAAACATCAAAGAAGAGGTTCTTGTGGTTAATATTAGGAATTACACTGAAGGGCAAAATAAGACATGAAGAAATATAGAAATTATTACAAATCAAGAATGTGGTGGAAGACATTATGCAATACCAAAGAAACTGACCACATTGAAAGAATGTTCCCTGGATGTTTCCCATGCAAGGCAAACTATAACGTGCCAATATAAAAGATGTGACATGGGCCAAGCAAAAGCTATCCCACTGGCCTCAGATGAGATTTTCTACCCAGTCCTTGTTAGGAAAGAACAATTTTGTTCTGATGTGTTTTATTTAATTTATCTTATAAGGAATAGTCCTGTCACAAATGGGAAAGAAGTAATAAACAAGACTTGTAGAATGCTTAAATGAACTACTGTAAATAATAAAGAAAAGCAGAAGACGATGTGAATTAAATGAAAGCATGATGGGGAAGTCTGGCCTTTAGTGAGCAAGTTTCGCCTTCGAAAGTACGAAAGGGATTTATATTGTTGTTTGTTGTTCTGTATGCTGTCGAATGATACGACAAACAATGAAATGAAAATTATATGGAAGAAAGCGGTACTGTCCCGGAATTTTCCCGGTACAAATAAAAGAAAAAAATCATGAAGAAACTGTCAGGATAGCTGGCTTCCTTGCCAAAACTTGAACCCGGGTCCTCCCGAATACGAATAAAGAGTGCTAACCATTCGCCTTCTTCGTTCGATGGACTTTGATTGAATGTGACACTGGAATTCCGCACTTAAACATGTTTGGAGAATGCTATTTTTTGAAACTTAAATCAGGTTTAAACCGTACTTTAAATTCATTTCAAATCGAACTTTACTGGTTATCTTACAAAATATGTGGTACATGTTATGAATTATAGCTGTCATTAAGACCTTCAGCTTGTGTTTGAAAGAGCATTCTATATGGTGAACATTTAACGAAGTACAGGAGAAGTTTCTGGTTGTAGGTCCATGCAGAGTGATGCCAGTTGTGTGTCAGCTTAGCAGCTCTGGGTTTCTGTGTTTATGTTTCTGATGAGGAGTCCTGAATATTAAGGATAATTATGACTTTAAATTCGCAGCAACCGCATTTGGAAAAATAGGTTTAAGCCTACCCCTCCCCCCAAGTTGACTCCAAGTCGAAGTAACCTGTACCATTTCGGTCTCGTTAGCTGCAAAGAAAGAAGTTGAAGGTTTGCAGTACAGTGTCATTATCGTGGAAGAAACAGACGGCCCTTCGAATGTCCATGTAAGTGGCTGCCAGACAACAGAAGTGCCCCATTGTCTCTCCCTATTTATTGTTTTATCTACCTAAAGCTTAATACTCATGAAGACTCCACACTTGTCTGTAGAGAACAACGCTTGTGACACAGAACTGGCAATAAATTTTCATTCGTCCTGTAGAAAAAAAGTATATGTGTATATATATGTGTATATATATATATATATATATCCATTATATTTAATCCACTACTAAAAACTTACATTAAATGGAACTCTGTCTGAAATGGATTCCATTTTAAATAAGTTTTACAGTATTTGTGAAACATGGTTGAAAGATATTTTTCTTGTTACCTTTAAGTAATGAGTCTGGGACACCACAGAAGAAACTTATACCAATATTACGTACAGCCCTGTAGAAGTCGCCAGGATGTAGAAAATCTCGAACAAGTTCTGTCATGTGACATGCTTCTAGATTTTGCTTTATTTGCTCTTGCACTTGCTGAAAGTATGTAGAGATATTTAATTTTGTATGCATTACTTGCATAAAGTGCATGAAATGGACACATAATGGGCTGACCATGTGACTGTAAGTGTGCCTAATCAACTGGGACCCCTGGTCAAGTTAATCTAAGTTTGGAACTTGCCAGATCAGGGGCCCCAACAGATTGTTTTTTTTCTTCTGTCATTTCATCTGAAGTAGAACCAACGTCTGAAACACTGTGGTTCATAAAACATAGATGATGGATAAGTCCACGAAAACAATTTTACACAATAGATCTTAAGCTGAAGAAATATGTTTTTATATTGCCTGCAATCTATCGATATGCTTGTGTGAATGACGCTGATAATAATGATTACACAGCATAATATAATTTTTTTATTTCTGCTAGAAGCATTGAAAATTCAATATCTGTCAAGAACACATGTGGAAACTGTATATCCTGGTATGGATTACATCTTTCCAGTCTTGTTATTCTTCTCAAAGTATTTTGACAATAATCAACAAAGTAAATAAAGAAACTATCAAACAAACAACTAAGTATGTGAAGCAGTGGCCTTCACGAGAAGCTGACAGTTGCTCAGTCAATATATTTCCTGCCTTTTACATAATACAAAGATTCACTATTGTGTTCATAAGATCCCCAGCCACTGAACCCTAACATGAAGAAGATTCCAGTCAATATTTATTAGTTATAGTTTATGTAATAATGCTTTTCAGTAGCTCAGACTACAAAGCATCAAGATGTCTATGATGATGTATGAATTGGTCATTCAATCATTCATAGGACTAATGTCAGGTCATTAGATTTTGCTCACTCACATTTAAAAAAACTATACTGAAACAGTGCAGACTTGATTGGATATGTCAAGGAAAACAGGCTATAAATAATGTGATTTTGAGAACAGAAATACTTAATATTAAGAAATGAAATATAAAAGTAAAACAGTAATTTGTCCAGTTGTAAATTATATTAGAATACAGCACTGACTATAATTAGTAGACTAGTATATGTTAAGGTGAAACACTGCTATGAAAAAAATGATGGTCATTAAGTTCATACATAGTGGCAAAAATTTTCTAGCAGAGGTTACTAATATTTACTCATTTATCATCATATAAGCAGACACTTCCATGCTCTGATACACATTTCTTTAAAAATTTTAAAGTTAATAAATATATACAATGCTTATACTAAAGCATGAGTCATCATTATCAGAGAACACAAAAACACTTACCACATCTTGTATATCTGCAGGATTTCCAGTGCTGAATGGATGGTGGGAAAATCTAGTCTGAAGACAACCTAACAATGTGCGTCTTAATAGAGCAGGTGTCATCTCCTGGCAACCTGTCTGTTATAATAAATTACATTTATTATCAAGGGTCTATGCATATTCAAATACATATGACTGCTAATTTCCAAGGTCAATTCTTTGACCTCACAAGCTTTAAGCCAGACTTCTGTAAACTTGGGCTCAGAATTTGTTTATATGAAACTATACTTGTAACATTCCAATCATGTTTTCTTATATAACAAAGATAAAAGGATGCATCATTTCTAAATGCAGATAATAGAACTGTGATTTTTCTTCAGTTAAATTGCATAAAAGTAAATCTATTCCTTCTTTACACCATGGAAACATATGGGGTAACAGAGGTAAAGCTCCGTACATTCTTGACCTGAGTACTAGATGGAGGTGGTCATCTTCACCCCTGTTGAAAAAGCCCCAAGTGCCCATTGGACAACTTGCTGGGTGGGCCCCAGAGCTGCTCTGGATACAGTGGTGGCAAAGAAAAACTCCCTGCCCTTGTCAAGAATTGAATCTTGGTCAACCATCATATATCCAGTCACTTTACTAAACCATCACTCACTTTTGTTCAGAGTATTTTCCAGAAATTTCTAACTCACCTGAAGTTTTAAGATACCATCTGGCTTTTCACTTAATATCAGTTATTTAACTTCCTCCTACAAATGTATGTTCAGTCTATGTTACAAAATATTTCTTAACACTGTAAAAGAAATGGGTATGTAACATGTTTCTGTTGACAACTACTATCAGAGTTTGTGTATCTGACTGGTCAAAGATCATTTCCCTGTCTGCTGGGCAGTCATGGACACTTTAAAATGCTTTAAAAAATGTGACCATGATGAAAAATAAGTAATAATGTTAAAGAGTCAAAATACAAAAAAAAAAAATTGACAGTGGAACTACGGTTCCGGAGAATTTGACGTAAATAAATCTATACGGAAAGGAAGTTTATATATTGGCATTAATCTAAATATTTCCTTTATACATGCTTTACAATTGAGATAAGTTTGATTAAGACATTGCTTATTCAACTTCAATTAGTTACGCTGGAAATGGGTCTGTGGTAGCTGAATGTAATGTAAAGTAATGTAATGTAATGTAATGTAAGGTAAGGTAATGTAAAGTAAGGTACGGTAAGGTAAAGTAAGGTAAGTTAAGGTAAGGTAAGGTAATGTTTTATAGGTAACAACAATGCTAAGTAAACAGATGACGTTTCCTAGGCAACAATAATGCCGAGTAAACAGATTACGTTTCCTAGGTAACAATAATGCTGAGTAAACAGATGACGTTTGCTAGGTAACAACAATGCTGAGTAAACAGATGATATTTCCAAGGTAACATAATGAAGTTTGACGTTTCCTAGGTAACATAACAATGAAGTTACACTTTTTCGTTCCACTTTTTGCCGAATGACACTGACCCTAAAGTATAGACGTATTTATGTCAAAAAAAAAATCGCTACAGAAATCTATGCTATATAATCTCAGAAAGTCAAATAGAATTGTGAAATAAGCTGAATCAATCAATATTATGATACAATGTCTGCCTTTATGAATTACTACAAGAAATTGTTCCCTGGTGTAGGCAGTAAGAAACTTCACAAGTGGTGGAGTAAAATACAGGACATAATAAAGAGTAAACTGGACTCACACAGCTCTTGCAAACTTGGCAATAAACCTACATGCTCCTTGAAAGATTAACTTTTTAATAAGTGCCTATTTGCTTCTCAAGGACTCTAATCCATGGAATTTGTGTTATCAATATTTCATTGTGTGTATAATTAATTCAAATAAATATACAGGGATGTCAGAGTGGAGGACAGTCATCAGATTTCAAAAACCTCCAGTAATAGCCAACCAACCACAAACATAGTTAACAGTGTCTCCGATTTAATATTAAAAAATCAAATGTTACATTGTAAGAGTTATGTTCTAGTAGGCAAAACTGTTTCTTTGCCTCCTTAATGGGTTTTATTTTTTGGTGTAGTGTACTGTCTTACTAATACCATTTACTTTGTGTGGAAAATAAGACATGTATCATAAAAAAGGTTACTAACATGTGATAAAAATAAAGATTTGATTCAGGAAGACTGACCCATATCAGCTGATACATATATACATACCTTAACCTTTGTATGCTAATCCTGCTGATAAAATGTTCTCTCCCGACAAGTGTCTTTAGGGATAATAGGCCAGCATCTCAAACTGGGAGACAATGACATATCTTATCTTACTGACCTTGGCTTGGCTCCTATTCAAATGCTGGGGAAAGGTCAATGCCATCACATGATAAAGCAAGACAAATCATTCATGCTAGAGGTATAAGAATTTTAACAAACCTATTACCACAATGAAACAATACACATCTATATTCTTAACCAATAAAAATGGGAATTCTGAATACTTATTTTCTTTCACATTCATACACCCATGCCCCCAAACCATAAATAAACAAATCCACCACACTATGAACACACAGAACAGTAGATGTAAGGTTCCATGCATTCATAATCTTAGCACTATACAAAGATGAGTGGTCAGCATCATGTGCATATTTATTACAAGAAGAGATATGAATGAGCTATATAGTCACCAGGCTCAGTGGTTCTCAACTTTACTTGATTCAAAGACCAGCAAAAAGCAAGAGAAACCAGAGTTAGTTTTCTGGATAATTGTCATCTGTCTCACATTGTATAGTACAAATAATAGCTTGCTAATTACTAGCATTTCTACATAGGTATACTTCCAGTAAAACAAAATTTTAAAAGTACATAATTAACAGGCACCTTCGTAAATGATTTTTTTCCAAACAATCATGACTTAATCTTAATTGTTCAGGAATAAACATACTTCACCTGCATTCTTCTCTGATTATGTTAACAGAATCATATAAATACAAAACTGAATATACACTCAGCATGATGCACTGCTTGCAAGATTTTCAACTTTTTAGGTATAGTCACTGAGCATAGGATAAAAACAGCTTATAAATTATTTAAAAATCTGGGCAGAGTGCAAATATATGGAATGAGAGTAACAAATCTAAATTTTGTTCACAAAGAAATTAAGAAGCAGATTAAAATCTTGCTACCATTCAGTTAAGAATATTTCATCTTTTTGATTCCTAAAAATACTAAACATGAGGAAGTTAGGAGGAGATTAAATTCTGGAAATGCTTGCTACTTCTCAGTTCAAAATATTTTGTCTTCCCGTCTGATTTCTAAGAACCTGAAAATTAAAGTAT